GTCGCCATACACTTCGACTACTCGCCCAAGGCTCCATGCATTTCGAGGCAAATTGTCCATGACCAAAACAATATCATTCACACTAATGTTCTTTCGGCCACGAGTCCATTTTACCCTTTCCTGTAACATGGTAAGATATTCCTTAGACCATCGCTTGCTGAAGGAATCAGATACTGTATCTTCTTCCATTGTTTTTTGGTGTAACAGCCATCTGCTCTGAATAGTCCAGGAGGTAGTGCTCCACCTATTTGGAGCATTAGCAGATCATTGGGTGTCAATGGTGTCAGGTCCTTGACATCATTTGTCACAGTGGTAATCGGGCGACTGTTAACGATAACCTCTTCCTCGCAGAAGAGAGTCTGGAGACCATCATCATCTAAATGTATGACTTGACTGTGCAGAAGAGAGTACAAGATCCTCCTTATGGTACGTATCATGCACTCCCATACCCCACCGTGATGAGAGGGGGATGGAGGATTGAACTCCCACGAAATGTTCCTCTGGAGGAAAGTCTGATGCAGTTGCTCAATATTCCATAGGTGTATGTTCTCTCTCATTTCCCTCTCACAGCCTACTAGATTCGTTCCATGATCAGTCCAGACTTTCTTGGTATGTCCTCGTCTTGCAAAGAATCGTCTGAAAGCATTGACACAAGAGCTTGTATCAAGGGAAGCAGTAAGCTCAAGATGCACTGCTCTAAAAGCAAAGCGAGTGAAGACTACCCCACAGCGCTTCACATTTGAACGACCCCTTTTCACCACAAAGGTACCAAAGAAGTCAACGCCTATGCGTGAGAAGTGTCAGGTGTCAGCCCACCTACAGGTAAGACTGCCATTTTCTGTTCTTTTCTCTGAGCACTGCACTTTCTACATATCACACATCTAGAAGTAATCCTTTTAATAAGGTTTCCAAATCCTTGAATCCAATATCACTGGCAAGTCATCATAGCAGCTTTGCCCATGTGCCCCTTGGATTCATGAGAATCTTGTACTATCAGTTGAGACACAAAGCACTTTTGGGGCAATATAATGGGGTGTTTTACTTCATAAGGTCATGAAGCCTGACTCAACCGTCCACCAACTCGAAGCAGTCCATCCACGAGGATAGGATCCATTTTGCGAATTCACTTGTTCTGTCTTGAATCTTAGCTTGGGTTTTTAAGAGAACTGATGATGTCATAGAAATACTGCTTCTGGATGTAAACATAATATTGTGACTTCAGCTTTCTCCATGATTTTGACTCTCAGGTGACATCTAGATGTACTGTCCCTTTGGTTGTCTTATTTTCATCTAAGTGTTCAGCAACTCTTGAGTTTGTTTTACTGATTCTTGTTTCTTTTTCAATTTCCTTTTCAGATTATCCATGAAAAGGAGAAACGAACCTACAATCTTTCTCAGTTTCAGCCAGGATGAGATGTATGTCAGGAGTCTGTTCATAATGTCCACAGATTCATCTGTAGCAGGGCCATCTTCTGGAAAATTGTCCCAAGCCCTTGACAACAGTGGACCATGCCTCTTGTCTTGGTTGGTCTTTGGAACCACTGATCCATCTCTAAGAATGTGGCTATCCTCATGCCTCTTGAAGCAGCATCAGTTGGATTCATTGCAATTGGAATGTATTTCCATTGCTGGGGATCTGAACCATCTTGGATAATAGTCAGCCACAAAATTCTTGAAACGCAATGTTTCCTTTTTGACATACCTGATAACAGACATGCTGTCTGTCAAGTAATAGACATCAGTGAGTTTGTACTGGTTCATTCTGGAGAATGCGACTTAACCGAACTGTTACACAAGCTGCTGTTAATTCAAGCCTTGGTGTAGTTACTTTCTTAATGGGCATTACTCTTGCCTTGGCCATTACCAGTGAGCAATGAACTTTGCCCATCTCATTCTTCAACCGGTGGTAAGTTGTGACACCATACCCTTCGTTACTAGCATCTGAGAAGATGTACAGTTGACATGCCCTTACCGTTCCAAAGTCTGAAGGTTTGTAGCATCTTGGTATGGAAACCTTTCCTAAGAGGGGAAGATCAGCAATCCACTGCTGCCATACAGTGAGCTTAGTACCTGACACCTCTTCATCCCATCCAAGTCCTTGACGGCACATGTCTTGCAGTAAAATGTTTGCCTTGAGTACAAAAGGTGAAACCATGCCTAATGGGTCATAGATTGAACTGACAACTGATAACACATGTCTTCTCATACAATCAGCATATTTCACATCAAGTTTGAAGTCAGTGTGCACTGTCCAAACAACTCCAACTCCAAACAGCTCTTTCTTCTGATCCAGTTTACAACTGATCTGGATTGAGATCCTTCACTCCTTCTGCTCGGACTTCAGGCAGAATTTTGTCGAGAACCTCTGCACAGTTGCTTACTATTTCTGCAATCTCTGGTTCATACTTCTCCTCATTGTTATCCCCCCGACATATAATGACATATAAGGATATAGCCATCAGTATGTCCGTCCGTCCGTCCGTCCGTCTGTCCGCCTGTAATCATTGTTTGTCCGGAGCATATTTCCTAAACTGTACAAACTAGCTTCACAAAACTTGGTACACTTAACAATCAGGCTCAGTAGTAGTGCCTTTTGCTATTTAGAGATTTTTAGAATTTTTTATTTTTGTCGTTTCCATGGAAATATGATGAAATTAGGAAATTTGAGGGTAGTGGTCATGTCCGGAGCATATTTCCTAAACCGTACAACCTAGCTTCACAAAACTTGTTACACTTACCAATCAGGCTCAGTAGTAGTGCCTTTTGCTATTTAGAGATATTTAGAATTTTTTATTTTTGTCGTTTGCATGGAAATATGATGAAATTAGGAAATTTGAGGGTAGTGCTCTTGTCCGGAGCATATATCCTAAACCGTACAACCTAGCTTCACAAAACTTGGTACACTTACCAATCAGGCTCAGTAGTAGTGCCTTTTGCTATTCAGAGATTTTTAGAATTTTTTATTTTTGTCGTTTCCTTGGAAATATGATGAAATTAGGAAATTTGAAGGTAGTGCTCTTGTCCGGAGCATATTTCCTAAACCGTACAACTTAGCTTCTCAAAAGTTTTTACACCTATCAAGCAGGTTATGTAGTGGTGCCTTGGCTATTAACAGATTTTTTATTTTTTTCATTTTTCAATTTAAATTGAAAATTGATGAACTTATGGTAATGTCCTTGTCTGGAGCATATCTTCTAAACCATGAGACAGAGATTCACCAAACTTTATGCACATATCAATCATGTTCACTAGTAGTGCAGTTTGTTATTTATAGATTTTGATCTTTTCAATTTGTAGCCCCTGACATTTGAGATCATCAGAAAGTGAGCTACATGAACCAATATTTAATAAACATCATTATATTTCTGGTTTTAGCATCAAGGAAAAAATTATTTCCTTACCAATCTAAATACATTTGAAGGTACACACAGTTTACCGACATGCCACGTCGGGGGGGATATGTCATCTTCGGATGACTCGTTACTAGTGGTCTTCAAGAGGGAGCACTGCAATAAAAATCCATCTATAGATACAAGCTTGTATATGCTTTGGAATGATGATATTTCCAAACCATATACAAGATTGGAATGATGATATATACAAAAATATACAAGTTTGTTTATATGACACATACAAAAATATACAATTTTGTATATATAATGTATCCAAATTTGTTTTCTTTGTATATATTTGTAAAGGGAGATAATTGTTATGTATTCGTGTATAATTATTATACATGTGCAAAATGAAGTGTTTTAAGTTGAGCACTGTGTTTCTTTGTGTATGTTGGTAAAGGGGGGATAATTGCTATGTATTGTTCTATAATTGTTTTGTATGTGTAAAATAGTATTAGCAAGTTCCAAAAAAAGTGATATAGTGGCCTGTAACATAACTGGAATGTTTAATTAGTACTCCACACTGTTAGCGGGGGTACATACTCTCCTTACAATGATATTGACAGGTAAGCGATTGAGGCGTCTGGTACTTTTCCTGGCGCGGTGCTTGGAATGTGAGAAGACGTTATGGTCAAATGCGCAGAGAGGATTAGCTGTAGGGGGTGATTGCATTGGCGGTGACTTCTGTATTGAAAGTGTTGAAATCGATTTGTGCTGAGCTTGGATTCGTTTGTACGGGGAGGCCGCGATGTGATTTGTAACATGCTCTCGTGCACATAGCAGATTAGCCAACAGAGTGGATTGCACAGAGGATGAAAACTATTTTATCATTACTTTAAAGTGTTGAATTTGGTTTGTTCTGAGCTGTTGGTTTAATTGTAGGGTATACATTGTTATAATGTCAAATTTTGGCGGAACGCGGAAAATCACGTTTTTTTAAAATGCCAGTCCTTGGAAAAATCCTCTTCAAAATAAAATCAAACATTTAAAAAAAAAAATACTCCGAAAATATCGTGTTGCCGGACAACCGTGGCGGATTGTCCTGTTTTCGATCAGAGCCTTCAGCATCAAACATGCCTTTATTATTATTCATAACACAATCATGGGATCTTAAGTTTCCGGACATCATACGTTTTCTATCATGAATACTTGCACTATAACGGGGGGGGGGGGGGGGGGGGGTGGCGTCACACAGAAATTGTTAATACTCCATTGATGACTTTTTTTATGATAAAGTTGTCTTGTTCATGTGAAAAAACTATGAATGTTTATTCAGTGTCCGAAAACCCATAACACGGGGATATATGTTGTATTAATGTCTTATGTTTTACAAAAGGTAAGTAAGTACAAAGGTAAGCTTTTCTCAATATGCTTCAACGTGGGAAAAGGGACATTGCCTGTTTGTGGCAGTATTGCTCCAAGGTGGCATCGGCATCCACTAATGCCTACATCCACTAATGCCTACAGTCTACAATAAACAAAGTCATTCACCAGTGATTTTCAGCGACACCTGCTATCAGTGCTACCCAACCTCTAACTGGACAAGTCCACTTTAGTGGAATAATGCCTATAGGCGACAAAAGACAGAAAATTGTATGAAGTCACTTTTTATTTCACATTGCCATAACACTAACAGTAATAATTTATGATTTCTGCATCATTGCATTAGTTCTTATAGTATACACCAGCAGATATTTGCTGATTTCAAAGAAATCTAATATTGGAAGAGTTCATTCCTAGCATGGGTATGTTGTTTTCTTTGTGTAGGCATTATTCCACACTGCTTTATGTTTTTGTAGGCAATAGTAACTGTAGGCAAAAGTGGACGTAGGCATTAGTGGCTGGAACCCAGGTTCTATTCCCGATTTTTTAAAAGTACTGATTTAACTCCGAAATTTTAATGCATCCGCCATCTTTGTTTATTTGACTTTTGCCACTGTTACATTTGTTGGTATGAATATTGTCCAAACGGTACGTAATTGCTTAAAATGCAATCAAATGTTTAAAACATTTCTCGGGGCTCAGCCTAATATCGTTAGCAAAGTCAACAAACTACGACTGTAAATGTAATGTACAACAGGCACAAGAAAATTAAAAAAATTCTTACAAATACAAATGATAAGAAGTCGAATATGAATACTTATACCTGTACTTTTTAGAACAAGAAATTGACACATTGACGTATTCAGATTAAATTGATATTTTCTTTACTTATGTAAATGCAAATGATAAAAAAATATTCAACTGTGAGATACTCTGGCTATTGTGCAAAGAATCCAGTCCCAATGAAAGTGAACATCATGCCGATGTTATACAAAGCAATCATATAATATATCGCAACATAATGACGGTATCAGTGGGCACATCGTGGTATTTGAAGATAAAACATGATAATACATGTCAGCAGTCTAGGAAGTTATACACGGCATCTTGACAATGAACAAAAAGAAGAAGAAGAAGAATAGTTTATTAAAGTGTCACTATTTAAACAACTATTTTGGCTTACGAGACAAAATACACATCACACTCCCAAAGAAGTACCACGAACACACATCTCCGCAAATTCAGTCACTAACCTACCCACATATATTACGTTACACACCACACCACACCACACCACACCACAAGGGATTCCATACTCGGTATTGACCCATGACAGATCCTTCTTCATGTCAGGGAATGGGTTTTGGGATGGTGGTCAACGGACACGTCTTGCCTTAGGGAAAGCTGCCAACTGTCCAGCTTCTTCATGTATGTCTCATCTGCCAGCCTAGGAGGAAAACATGTGAAATTTAAATTCAAATTTATTCCGATAACCCTTAAGCAACGTGTCAGTATTATAGCTTGATGTATCAGAACAACACTATTTGTGAATGGCAGGTGCTACCAGTAGTGTTGGGTATGCTTAACCTTTTTGAAGATTCACTCTTTGTAATTCGACATCAAACGGATTACATCACACTCTAAGTAAACAATCTCATTTAACCTCAATTAGTTAATTAATCTAGTTAACCTGCAGTATACTGTATCACTTAGTACTGCCTTTACGAGGAGTAATCCCTTGTCAGTTGTTGGTGAGTGATCAATTAATGTCTGGAGAAAGGGATTAGCCTTAGTCACAATAAATTAACATTCCACACTGCAACACAAGAGATTATCGATCATTATGCCTTTATAAGAAAGTGAGAAAGATAAAGATTGAATGATACACAACGGGCCGTGCCTGCATTATATAGCCTGCAAGAATCGTCACTGTAAACTAATAGAAGATTAATTTCAATTATACAGAATATTCAACTGCTAAGTATATGATAAAGTGTTGAAGTAGCATTAGATATGTTTGAGATTACAGTTTTCAATTAACTGTATAATGTACCTTGCTGTCTTTGAGAGAGTCAGTGTCTGTAAAGCTGGCTTGGTCTAACTGGTATTCATTCCCTGGGACACAAATATTGGTTACTAGCATTGTATTATGAGCAGCCGGATGCGTAAATAATATGTAATATATTTCCGTATTATATTTTATAGTACTTGTTGTTTTAATATTGTTAACAACAGAGATAACAAAGATTTTTTTGTAAAACCACAACAGCATGCATATGTTCTAGCAAAAGGAAACTTGATAAATATTCATTTTGCTTAATTTCTACTTTGGAAAACTTAGTTGGAGCTCTGAAAGGTTGACGCTGTATTATTTGGCACGCACATGGTTGGATGCAAACCAAATGTTTAATTCTCACAAATTAAGACACCAGCGGCGGTATAGGAGCATATATCTAATGTCATTCAATACAGAATAATACATCAAGATGGCAGTTTCAATGTAAAGATTAAGTATTTCTAAAGATATGGAAAATAAATCTTGATAACTATTTAATCTTTGATCTTTTGGGAAAATAATAGTGGAACTGGTTGAGTGACTGACGTATTCTACATTAAAAGTGACAGGTACGTGATTTACATCATTAAAATATGAAATAATCTACACAGTGATACAATTATAAGTGAGGGTTGTGATTTATTTAGGAACGAAGTCAGTATTTAGGGATTTAACTTGTGCTTTCCAACATCATGCGTATTTTGCAGGCGATTAAGAAAAAAAAATGTAATTCATTTATTTATACGAAGTACGAATGCATCAATCCTACATCACTGGACTAAGTACATAGTTTGTTGAATGTTATTTCATGAATACACAAATTGCATAACACATTCCCTGAGGGCAAACCCAAATGCCCCGTCCCTTTGTAACAGGTGTTAATTAGAGAATGTATTGCCACCATATTATGTCCCGGCACTTTTATGACATGTAATGAACCTAGTCAGTCCCTGGGTCTGTAACAACAACATTGGTCTTATACAATCAAAGTAACATAAATGTTACGTGATTCGTATTCAAAAATTGACTGAAAAAATATAACATGAATATAATTGCCCTGTCTGGGATAATATAATATTGGGAAAATGTACTTAAAAGTACAAGATGAAAGAATTTCAGAATCAACTGTTTCTTGTATTTATGGCCGACTTCACACAAACTGAAAAATTAAACATATGTTTATATAGCTATAATTACATGCATGACACCTAAATTAACATGAAGTAATAATGTTGGTCATGTTTGTTAATTTGTACATTTTGTTGTTATTGGTATCCTGAGGATGATTTAATTATACACGTGTTCTGATCTTATTTGACGTAGAATACATATGGTAATTGGATATTTTAGTTTGTGCAACAACAACAGTACTTACGCGTTCATATTTGATATACCAATTACAGGTCAATCACCTCATTACATTTATATTCAACACGATTTCTTAACTCTGTCACCCGAATGTGTTTTTTATGCCGTCTGGATCATGTTACAGTAATTACATCCCACAATGCACTTCTAAACAGTCTGCGCATGCCCAGTAAGACGGACATGACGTCACAGTGTTTACCTTTATTAACCCTTCAGCCCCGCACGAGGTAACTTTCTACATTGTCGCAAGCCACTCAACTGCGTTACCCTCCAGCCATCCCTTAGCTCCTCCTGTCTTTCATGGCCTAATGTATTCATGAGCATCATGAACGTGGTTTCTTGTGCATTCGCTAGTACTCATGTATTGGCATCCATTCCATGGCTGTTTATCAGGCGCCTATATATATATATATTGTGTATATACCTTATCTCATCATAAGCCACTCCATAATCAGAGCATGGAAGGCTTGTGGCCCCCAAAGAACATTACGCTATTTGGGTACTGTCCGGTCAGCACGACCAGGACTAGCTTAACTCTAGGGATCGTCCGGGTCATCGGACCCCAGGACCGGCATATCCCTCTCACAGCTACACAGTCCGGGTCCATAAGACCCCAGGACATTGTCATCTTACCCGGGTCTCCATGACCCCAGGGTGTCAACCCGGGTCACTTCGACCCCAGGGTCTCTTAGGCAACCGAGGCAGCCCCCATGTTGTGCCAAATGTTTATGTAAATATCTGTATGTAATAAAACTTCCTGCAATGTAATACATTTCATGTTGTTTGTGGCACAAACAACTGGTTGAGTGACTTTCTTCCATTAGTGTGAAAGGATTGCCCACACATAAACCCTAAATCCATTGTCAAACAGAAAGAAGTCATATAGATATCATATCTAACTGGTATTAAAAGTTCACTATCAATCACCTCTGATAACAAACTGTTACATTTAATATCCCCAAGCACCAATACCCAGTATGCTCATGGAGTAATTATCAGAAACTCGAAATAATATCCTGTCTACATGGTCACAACCGGTGATTGTTAAGACATTCAGACAATATGGCAGTCTGTATTCATTTCTTATATCCCAAAAGTCCCCAACAAGCTTCCTATATACAAAATACATATATATATTAAAACAGAACAAAAACGATTGGTCAACAGTTTGGTGTGCTCAATGGAAAGGTGTTCAATTACTAAGAAAAGCTATTTAACTGTTTAATACTTAATACGTGTCTTAAAATATGTAAAGTTATTACATTAGTGCAAATCCACCTGAACGTAGGATGTACATGGACTGATTTCAAAATAGCTAAATTGACAAATTGTTTCCCATAAACCACTGAATTTAAACTCACTTAACCTTTAGAATAGAAAGGCGAATCGTTTCTTAATATATTGTCTTTTAAGCTGATGGAAGTTTATATCACTACAACCGAGTCCGAGGCGATAAAGGATTATGTGACAAAATCTGGTATCATGGCTTAACTGTATATAAGTAACACTGTCCAAGTTTAATAATCGTCTATATCAGGTGACTATTCCAATTATTAATGGTATCAGGTAGGAATGACTTGGCATAGCATTCTGTTCTACAACATATAGCCTGTATATTGGTTTGATTTCTATAAATGTAATCACTAACAGCAAAGATGTTTTCCATCTTGTAAAAAGGTGTAATGGCTTTCTCTATAAATTCTCGTGGCCTGTACCCCTTATCGACCCACAAATAGTCCGTAAAAAAAGTTAAAATTTAACGTCTCATCGGCATTATTTCAGCGTCCGAAATGAATCTTAGTGTAAACACTCTAGGATTAATTCTTGTTCTTGGTACAATTATCCAAAATATGGGCATTATATGCTTGAACATAACTTCTAACGATGTATGTGAAAGGAGTTATTTAACTGAGTGAGTGAGTATGGTTCACAGCGGTGGACAGCAGAAAGGTATCTAAGACTTCTGAGGCAATTAATCATAGGGCTTCCCTTTTTAACTCTATTGTCAATATCAGAATCTGACTGAAATATTATTCCCAAAGTCATAAATATTAATTCCTTTCATTTTAAGATTAGGTTTTGCACTTGGGAAAACTTTAACGTGAAATAGAAAAGTTTCTGTTTTCTCTGGATTCAATTTTACTTGCTTTCATCCATTTGGTAATTTTCTCCAAATCGGCATTAATATTTTACGCAGTAGTATTTGGAATTGTCCATTTGGGGAATTGTCTGGACCCCACCGCAAACACAGTAAACAAAAATTCCAATATGTACAATAGTTTGTTGGCTCGACATGCAAGACTCCATAATTTTAGTTATAATGAAAAAGTCATAGTAATATTAAATTATATTTTTTAAAAATCATTAATGTATTTGAAATGGAAGATGAAGTGACACACATTGTATTTTATAATAATGCACAATTTTGAATGCTTTAAACCTGTTGCATTAAACAAATACTGGATTTGATGTTGTCATATAGTGAATCAATATGTGTCTAGTCTATTGCGAACACATATAGTGTCAGCGCTCATGATTGCCATATCTATGAATGAATGAAAATATCATCATTAATAAACTCACCTGAGCTCACTGTGGGTTCTGAAGACAAATCGCTGTAAGGCATCCTGCACGGCTTCGTTCACGTTCACCCTCAAATGTACGATAGAAATATCTGCGATTGTGCGTGTTCAATGTTCGAATGCATTTTTGCGACAGGCGTCCGTTTATTTATTAAAATTCCACTAATTCATAAATCACATTGAGTTGCTCTCCTCTTCTCCAGCTGCTCACACTCTCCACTGATGTAGCTGCCTTGATTAACTGGAGTCCGGATGTAACTAATTACAAATTCTGTTCTAATTATGCTAATCGAGGATGTGCATTATACTGGATGACAAACTTAGTAATCCTTTCACACTAATGATCCTTGTTCTGATCATTGTAAATGAACGCATGTCAATTGACTTAACAAACATCCTTAAGTAGAAGTATCACAATGGACGGCGTATACAACTGTTTGTCAAACAATATCAACCAATATTTTATATTTAGAATCACCATTACATGAAATCACAGAAACAATTATATTAAATTTTACTTTGAAAACTCCAGAACTAATGTCGTGAACGTAATATAATAGGAATTTATTCCAACAAAGTGTTTCCCATATATATGTTTCCTTGTACAATTTTAAATTAATGGACTTTTTATCTATTATTTTGCAATGATCGTGACAATCGCGAAAAGGCTACTCTCTTGCTATTATGTTTTTTGGTTATTCTAGTTTAGGCAGCGACAGCCTCTCGTTACACAAACAGTGCTTTTCTAACCCCGATTTAGTTAAACCAGCAGCAGCCTTTCGTTATACAAACAGTGCTTTTCTAACCCCAATTAAGTTGAGACAGCGGCAGCCTTTCATTATAAAATCTATCCATATATACAAAATTGTATATTTTTGGATATACAGTGATCCCTCGCTACAACGCTACCAATGGGGTCCAAATAATTGGTGGGCGCTATAGACGATGAGCCGTTTAACCGAGGCCGAGGCAGGGGAGCGCGCTCGGCCAATCTCACGATCTTCGCCTTGTATCGCACATTGCAATGATACAGGTTGTTCATAGTGTAAATATAAAGATATTCCCATTGTGTTTTCGTCGTTTGTTATTATTTACAAGCCTTAACTGTCACATTCAACGTGATATTAGCCTACTTACATGTCAATATCGATCGATAATGGTAGTGACATTGTACATAATAACATATTGTCCGATCGAGTAGTTATCTCTCATTTAAAATAATTCGTTATGCATTGCTGTTTCTTTGACTTAACAACATCCCTCCTCATCATATCCAAGAGAAGTTTTGCGTGGAGCAAGGTCGTAGAATTGAACGAGCTATTGGGGTTCTGTTGGATATATTGTATCGAAACCTCCAAACAGGCTAACGCTTCTTCCGCTGTACGTCCGGGGACACCGGGAGGCGGCTGTAATGGTTCAGCATCTTCATCTTCATCTTCATCATCGCTTCTTGATCGGGCGTCCTCGATCAGCTGGTCATCGGATTTGCTTTCTGAGCTCGGGAGGTCATTGTCGCATGCGACCCAGAGTTCAACCGAAGACGGATCGACATCGAGTGCTTCTTCGCCGGCATAGTCTTTGTACTTCGCAACAGCGAAGCTGTGAAGCCGAGAAAATCTTCATCAAAGGCGCTGCCCAGTCCCTTTCTCCAGCAATTGTCAATGGTGCTTGACGTAATCTGACTCCATGGGTAATGTGTTGTGAAGATTACGTCCTTCATGGTGACCGTCTTTATGTAGTCTGTTGGGGGCATGGCGGAATCCAGCAAATTGGTGATAAGTGTCCTCTTGCAGTGTGATTTAAATGCCTTTATTATACCTTGATCCAAGGGCTGTATTATTGACGTTGTGTTTTTCGGCAGGAGAACGGCCTTGATTTTGCCGTCGTGTGAAGACAACGTTGAGGCAGGGGGGTGGGCTGGGCAGTTATCCAAAAGCAGGATTGCTTTTTCTTCGAGTTTTTGTTGTCTCAGGTAATGACGTACGGCGGGGATGAAATTCTTAAAAAACCAGTCTTTGAAGATCTATGCCCTCATCCACGCATTCTTGGAACTTTGGTAGACCACTGGCAACGTAGAGCGGTTCACGTGGTGGAGGGCGCGGGGGTTCTTCGATGTTCCTATAACAAGTGGCTTCAACTTATGGCGTCCCGTCTTGTTACAAGCAAGCAGCACTGTAACACGTTGCTTGGCCTTCTTGAACCCTGTCTTCTGCCTGGGGTCATTTTTCTCGGCGAGAGTCTTGTCTGGAAGCATCCGATAGTACAGGCCGGTCTCATCTGCGTTGTAAATCTGCTCATCTTGCAGGCCTTCCGTGTCAATGATGTCTCGTAGTATCGTTGGATATGCCGCAACAGATTCAACATCGGCAGATTTAGATTCCCCGCTGACGGTGATGGACTTGATCCCATGACGTCTCTTGAACCTCCACAACCAGCCATCACTTGCCTTGAAGGTGTCGTCGTCCCCGTTTATCTGCCTCGACATCTTCTGGGCCTGGACCTTAAGTATTTCACCCGAAAGGGGAATACCATCGTGTCTGGATTGTGTGAACCAGTCGAACAAGGCCTTGTCCAGAGTGGTGTCGTTGGCTCCACGGATCCTCTTCGTCTGTGGTCCTTTGCTGTCGTGGCATTCGGCTGCGGCTGACTGAAGTTTTTCTTCATTCTTTATCCACCCCCTGATGGTCCCCGCTGGAACGCCGGACTGGCGGCTCACGCTGGCCTGTGAAGCGCCATCTCTAACTTTCTTTACAACGTCTAGCTTTTCTTGCACTGTGTACACTTTCCTCATGTTGAAATTGGAATGCCCCTGATCTGATAAATTCACTTCATATACAGTAACGTATGTCAAGCCAGTTTAATTGGTTTGATACGGTTACTTGATCCGAATCAAAAGGAATGACCGTCATGTTGTGACAGTAACTAATGTGAGTTGACAGTGTCGCTTCAAATTGGATTGCCCACTAATTAACTTGTGATTTTTGTGAATTTTGCTTGTGGTTCTCTTTTATTGCATGCATGCGCTTCTAAGATCAAAGGATGTATAGTGTGAAAAGTTAACTAGTCGAACAATCGTATTTCCGGGACCTGCCGCGGATGTTTTCAAACAGATTATTAGAACTCCATTCAGCGATAAACCGTTGATTATGCAATGAGAAGCGTTATGTGCAAATAAACAACGAACAACAATACATTCATGTCTGTGTAAAACTCTCAGTATTAAAAGTGTACATAAAATTTTGGAGCCATGCGATACCGTGTGTAGTAACCGAGGTAGCGCTTTATTGAAGAGCCCAATAGCGAGGGATCACTGTACCAACTATACAAAATTGTATATTTTGGAAATACCAAATATACAAAATTGTATATTTTGTATATATTGGAATTTTCCCTTGTGAAAGGTATGGAAGAAAATCAATGAAGCAGTGGTAAAATCTATCCATATATACAAAATTGTAGCCCTACACCACTTCAGTTCAAGCAGTGAATGGCTTACAAGTGCATGACCTTGACCCCATGAACACGATCGCACTACCTACCGCTTACTCCAAAGAACACATACCGGTTTTGAAGAAACACATACCTGTTTCCTCTGACGTTCAAAAAATGGCCTCACCTTAATGATATATATCTGCCTGAGATTGATGCAAGTGTAGATATCCTCTTCGGGGGAAATGTACCAGACTCCTATGCACCACTAGAGATTCGTACCGGTCCTGATGGAAGTCCTCATGCAACAAGAGCCAAGCTTGGATGGATACTTTGGAATGTCCTTAGACTTCCAAAAGAAAACAGATTTCCATCAACGAGAACAGACATAACAATAAAAGCAATGGAAGATCTACAGAACATTAATACTATGATGAAAGACAGCATGAACTATGACTTTCCAGAGAAAGCAGCAGAAGAAAGAAAAGAAATGTCACAAGAGGACAAAGAATTTATGAAGATTGTAACAAACTTTATTCATAAAGACGATGGACACTATGTTGTCAATTTGCCCTTTCGAGACAAGGAAGTCATCATGCCTGACAACAGTAAACAAGCCTTACAGCGTTTGAGAGGACTTAAAGGGGCACTGATCTAACGCAATTCCCCGGACTGGTTGTTGCCTTTGTTATTGTTTTTTCCCCGTGAGTACCCGGATGATACGCAACGCAACTGAGCGTGACCAGAGACTGGGCTACCCTCTGCAAGGACAGCTAAATAAACTTGGAGGCTGGAGGCAATATTTGTTTTACGTATTTTTAAACACTGATTAGTTTAACCGTGATCTATAAAGATTTCGACAAAAGGCGCATTTTAATTAATTTCTTCAGCCTAAACAGACAAAAAGAACGGCGGAGCTCATCGATTGTCGTCATTTGGAAATACCCCAGATGGTTATAGTTAAATAAAAAAAAAAAAGTATCCATGCAGTGAAAGCATTATCGGATTTCGGATTGCGTCGATAATACGATTACTACTCCCTTGTTGTCATCCAAGTTTTCTGGTATAACCCTACACTTGTGTATTTGTCGTTATTCACTTGATGCTCAGTTAATGAATTTATTACAGGTACAATTATTGGTAGCACCACTTAGATTACCTGACAAAGGTTCCCATTTGGCATTTATTGTGTCTGGGGTAATTATTCAATCTAAATCCAGGTTTGAAGTGAGGTGAAATGTGTGTTATGTAATATGCACGTGGCAGCCCAGCAAGAGGTGAATGATCAGTTCATTTACTTTTTTTGTAAATCAACGGATCGTTCCTAGTCATCAAAGGATTAACAGAAAATACGTGGATTGATTAATCACTGTTATCTTGCACAGTGGATATGTCAAAAGGGAGTGTTTACATGTCTAGGTTTACTAAAACAAAGGGAATACACTCATATCATGGCGTGAAGTGTCGATGTAAAAACAACATACTTTGTTCAAAGGGTTAACTAATAATACGTTGATTGATTGCTCATTGTTATCTATCACTCAATGGATTTATTAAGAACCGTGGACGTTATGAAAATAGTTGTCACGTGGGCTTTCTCAGCCGACCCTTGAGACTTGACACCTATGTGAAACACCTGAAACAATCTAAGTGATCAGTTGAGAAAGGAACACGGGTTATAATATCCCGAATTCGTTATCATAATAATACATATGGAAATGTTTTTCAGTCACTTTGTAAAATAACTGAATATATAGGCGTTTAATAAATTTGAAAATGTTACACATTTTGACATTTAAAAAATATACACACTATAAATAAAAGCAATGCTCAGGTGAAATATTTACTTTGTGTTGCAAGTCAAAATAGTGTAAACGAAAATCGCAAAATTACCAAGCAAGTGACTTATCAAAATTTCGTCACCATTACCGATGCTACCCGCAAAGATACCTACATTTCCTTATTATCTCTAAAACTGTATTTCATTTTGTTGGTCAATGTGACCATATGCCCTTATTACTACCCATAAAAGTGACTAATGCGCTTACGAATGGCGCAGCAGAGGTCGCGAACTAGTCTAGATTTTTGCTATACATCCGGGTACTCCTGGAGAAAAAAAATAACAAAGGCAACAACCAGTCCCGGGGAACTGCGTTAGATCAGTGCCCCTTTAAGAAGAAATTTACTATGAACTCTAAAATACATAAAGACTATAAGAAGTTCATGGAAGACATCCTCAGCAAAGAATATGCAGAAATTGTTCCACAAGATGAACTGAAAGGTAAACCAGGCAAAGTATGGTTTATCCCACACCATGGAGTGTACCATCCACGCAAGCTGGGAAAAATAAGAGTTGTCTTTGACTGTTCAGCAACATTCCAAGGTGTTTCCCTCAATGGTAGTTTGCTTCAAGGACCCAATCTATCCAACAGCCTCCTCGGTGTTCTTATGAGATATAGACAGGCGAACATTGCCTTCATGGGTGATATTGAGTCCATGTACTATCGTGTCAGAGTGCCAAAAGAAGACAATGATTTCCTTCGCTTCTACTGGTGGCCGGATGGAGATTGTAGAAATGAACCTAAAGTGTATCGGATGTTGGTCCATATCTTTGGAGCTGTATCTTCTGCTTCATGTGCATCTTTTGCCTTACAACAAACTGCAAGGAACAGTCAGGATAAGTTTGTCCCAGAAATTACAGAAAAGTTGATTGACAACCTCTATGTAGATGATTATCTGGCATGAATGAAGAGAAGGCAGTATCAACTTTAAAAGAACTTGCCAGTTTGTGAAGTGAAGGCAGCTTCAGGCTTACCAAGTGGATCTCCAACAGCTCTACAGTGATGAAATCAATCCCACCTCAAGAAAGAACAAAGGATGTAAAAGACTTGAACTTGGACTGTGAAGACCTTCCATCTGAAAGAGCTTTAGGAGTCTACTGGTTTGTGCAATCAGACACTCTTGGATTCAAGATAAAGAGCAAGTTGAAACCAGACACTAAACGTGGCATCCTGTCTGTGGTTAGCAGTGTGTATGACCCTCTTGGACTCATGGCTCCTTTCATACTTATTTAAAAACAGCTGCTCCAAAACCTGCATAAAGAACACAGAAAGATTGGGATGAAGATGTTGATTCAAAGACACAGAAGATATGGCATCAATGGCTGAAAGATCTTACTTTGTTAGAAGATATCCACATTCCAAGATGCTACAAGCCTATGGAGTTTGGACTTGTAACATCATGTCAACTTCACCTTTTTGCAGACGCGAGCAATGTGGGATATGGAGTTGTCGGTTACATCAGATTTGTGAATGAAGATGAGGAAGTCCATTGTGCTCTGGTAATGTCTAAATCAAGGGTTGCTCCGTTAAAGAAGACAACCAGCTGTACGCCTGTCATCCCTCATTCTTCAAGAACTTCAGATCCAAGTAGACACAACTTTCTTCTGGACGGACAGCATGTCAGTGTTGAGATGTATCTTTAACACCAATGCCAGGTTCAAAACTTTTGTAGCAAACCGGATTGCTGTGATAAGAGACTGTTCTGATATTGATCAATGGAAGTATGTGTCATCTAAAGAGAACCCAACAGACTATGCTTCAAGAGGCATCAAACTTGATAATGAGCAGCAGATTCAGCATTGGACAGGAGGACCAAGATTCTTATGGCAACACCACAAGTACTGGCCGAAGCAATACATCAACAAAGAACCTCAAGAAGATGATCTTGAACTTAAGGAATGTGTTCATGCAACCATCATGGAGAAGGATAGCTTCCTAGACATTTTAATCAACCACTTCTCAAGTTGGACAAAGTTAAGAAGAGCAGTAGCATGGATCATCTTAACTATCAGATGTTTGCGCCAGAGAGTCAACAAGTCTCATTCCACCAGGAAAGTGAACTACACCTTGAATGTTCAAGTCCTTGAAGATGCAGAAAAGCTCCTTGTCCAACAGTCAGACACAAAATTTCTCGAAAGGACTACAATGACTCAAGCAATCTTCTTCAACAGTTGATAAATCAAGCCCTCTCTACAAGTTGGATCCATTTCTTCCAAATGACGTCATTCATGTTGGAGGACGCCTCAAGAATGCAGAGATCTCCTTCAGCGAAAAGCACCTAATCATTCTTCCCAAGAAATGTTGTGTAACACGCTTGAACATTGAAGAGACTCACAAGACTGTTGGACATCTAGGAAGGAACTCCATCTTGTCACATCTCAGACAATGGTACTGGGTGATTGGAGTAGGCTCACTGGTGAAGTCAATCGTTTCAAAGTGTGTCACATGTCGTAAATATCACTCCTCTCCAGGACAACAAAAGATGTCTGATCTCCCAGAGGAATGGATAACTCCGGACTTACCTTCTTTCACCAATGTAGGTATGGACTTCTTTGGTCCTTTCAAAGTGATACGTGGAATGTTGTATTCACTTACAAGAATCTTCGTGCTATACATCTGGAAGTGGCTGCCACCCTAGACACAGACTCCTGTATCCATGCCATCAGAAGATTTGTCGCACGACGTGAACCACCCAAGTTCATCAAATCTGACAATGGTACTAACCTTGTCGGATGTCAGCAAGAGTTAAGTGAAGCATTAAAGAACTTAAAAGAA